ACAGCCATTTCAGTTGTTCAGAACACCAATGCACGCTTGACTTAATGGCTTTTTGCATTAGTAGGAATCAGGTTCCAATCAGGGCCATGTTTCAGCAGTACCCGGCTTCCAGCATCTCTGGATCCTAATACTGAAAATGCTGAAGACACCTGAAGCAGAATACATTGACTTGATATAAAGGAATTCTCTGGGGTGTTTTTATTCAAAAATTTTTAAAGAGTAACAACATTATCACTTGATATCAGATCCAGTATTTTCTATTCTCCAACAATTGGTGCAAAACTGTAAAGTTTGGTGTGTTTCCTACATTGGACTGAATGTGACACTGGATAGTGTTACACGTACTTTGTCTGCACTTGATCGAGATGTGGTCTGTAGTTTTGTGTAATCCAGATCTGGCACTAATGACTGTTGAACCATGAGTTCAAGTTACATTTCAGTGAGGACAAACTCATAGGAGTCTTTTGAGAGATCCACCCTTAGGAGGTAGAACTCTGAAATGGGGCTGTTAATGGCGTAATAGTGATTTCAGACTCAGCAAACTATGGCACTTACAGACAGATCCTTGACCCTATTGGCAAGCATTGTTTCACTGCTAGAGGTACTGCTAGAGCTTTGAAAGCTCATAAAGTGAAAGACTTGAGAACTGATCTACCACATCTGTGCAAAAAAATGCCATTGGATTTCAGCTTGTTTTCTGGCAGCATGCTGAAAGTCAATAAGGAGCACCTGTTACAAGGAGTTAGCAAAGGGAGACATTCTTCTCATCCCTCCTTTGATTTTTTAAAATCTGAATATTTACTTGAGGTTTCTTTGCATTTCTGAACTTTTGGACCTGAATCCTATCAATTAAAATCTGTGTTCAAATAGATAAATTAATTATTTGGTCTGCAGATACTGCTGAGCTCCTGTATCTGTTATTCAAGTAGGTGCCTGACTGCAGGCTGACACAAGGCCTGAAAATACTGGTTTTAATGGTGACTGTAGATTGATTGCTAAATGGTAACAATAATTAAAAATATATGGATTATGAAAATGCAGATTTGTTTGGAAAAGATTAATTAGGTAGTCTGTGGTGTTTACTTTCTTGTTTCCAAACCCTTGTGCTATCCATAGTTTAACGTAACAGCAGATAAATGCAGTAAGGACATGATGTCTGATTTGGTTTCTCACAGCCCTCAGAGGAAGATGTTAAAAAATTTATGCTGCTTTGCTATCGATGTTCTGTCAGAATGGTGGTTAAAAAAAAAAAAATATATATATATATATATTTGCATATATATAAATATTTATTTATTTTATTAATTTTTTTTTGAAAATGAGGCTAAGTATTACGTCCTCAGATGTCATACAAAAGAACTAGCTGGTGTGCAAAGATAAAACAGTTTGCGAGCATCAAGAGGAGGCCTTTCCAAGAGAGACTGTCATCTGAAAATGAATGTTCTGAAAAACTGGAAAAAAAAAAGAATGATCAGATTAAAACAGCATAAATTTATCCTCTTTTTCTCTGATGTGTATGGGGGAGAGATTTATATATGTGTTACCAAAACTAATTTAATGTATGAAGCCAGTTGCCCAATATACTGTATTCCAGTAGATATTTATGGGTTGGTAGCTACATAAGAACTTTGCTGCAAGTGTTTTACTTTCAAGACTTGTGCAGGTACTCATTTTATTTGCTCATTTACCATCTATACAGATGTTTTGCAAATGTTCAAAATGTGTTCTCATCTTACAGGCTTTCTCATCTTACAGATGATTAATGCATTTGACACAAAATAAATGAGAGAAGAAATCATTTTCCATTGTAACCCAGCATTTTAGTCAGTAATTTTGCATTTTCACTGTCTGTCATTGACATTATTATGCAATTCAACAAAATCTCTGCAGCTTACTTCTTGCCCTGCAAGGGAAATGTCAGTCCTGAAATCTGGTAATGGACATTTACTTTTCTTTTCTAAAATCTTTATTTCTATTTCTCACAGAACTTTTGGAATTTGGAAGTGTTATTTATTCTCAATTAAAAAAACAAATGATGTCTTTGCTCTTAAGGTTTAGAAAAAAATGCAAATAAGTGTTGCTAACAGTGTTGTAGATGCAATAACTACAAGGAAAGTGTGGTCTTGATGAATGTCCTTACAGATTAATTTCAGGTTTAAAGTTTTGCCATTAATTTCGTGTACTTCTATCATGGTAAAATAGTGATCTCAGTGAATAGTCTAATCTCAGTGAAAGAAATTAATTAAAGCACTACCTTTATGAGGTCTTAGATGTATTTCTTACAGTTAGTGTGCCTTACTCACTCTCATATTTTTGATTTTTTTTACAGACAATGTGTGTGGAGGTATTTTGAGCATTGATTGTGCTAATTCTTCTCATGGTTAAAGTCATAAAATTGCAGTGGCCCAGCAAGAGGCATTATTATGCATGTATAGTTTCAATTTACGTGTGTTCACAAGGCCAGATTATGTTATGTTCTTCTAAAATGGAGATGTGTTAATGGCACAGATTTATTGTTTTCATTTGAAGGCAACATACTTCATAGCATTGCTATGAATTAAAGCTCGTAGTGACCAAATCCTCTAATGACACATGAAGGGTGAGGCTTCACACGTTATTAGGGTACTTTGAACTATTTTTTCACTGCCAAAATAGATACAACTTGGTCATGCTTTTGAGAGGTTACTTTTTTATAGAAGTCTTTTTTCCCCAAAGCAATCATGTAATTCATTGCTTGTATATAGAGCCTGAAACTCTTCTGGCTGGTTAAATATGACTTTGGGCTGTAGTTGTAATCATTTATATGTGCACTTGTTGTTCTCCATATCTCTAATCACTGTTTCTCCAATTCTTACATTGTAAACACTTTTTAGTTAGGTCATTTGGAGGGGTATTTTTCTTGCTTTCTTTTAAGAAAAGCTTAGAAGATTGTGATTTTCCCCTAAACACCGTGTATTTAAAACTTGCTAACTCGTCCTGGCAATTTTCTGATTTTTAGTATTTGAAAAGTACTGCTACTTGCTCATAGTAACTCCAGATACTTTCAAGTCCCAAGCCTGCCTAAATTAACCACCTCTTCACTGTGCTTTACCATCATTTTAGCCTTTTTGTGGCCCACTGCTAGCACTGTGAATTTATTAACCCTGCTAACCTCAGGTAAACACCCAGTGATTACTGTGATTTGATGTGCTGCAGCTTTATTTTTATGAGGCTCAGTCTATATAAAAGATGTATTTTTGTTGTTATGTTTCTGTTAATCTAATTTGCTTTAGATTGAACTGGGTTTCTTTCTTGCTATGCTTAATTGCATTGGTAACTATATTTTTTTCTATGCCAGGGCATTGCTGATATCCAGAAGCAGTATTTTGATCTGCCAGTGCCTTCTTGAGTCTCTCCATAAGTATTGAGATTATCATGGCATCATAAGAATGGTCACTGTGAGGGTTTGAATCTTCTCTGGATATAAAATATACTTCAAATTTAAAAAGAAAACATAACAACCACATAGCTACTAGTTATTGCTAGCAAGCTGGGGGCTACTAATTTACTAAGTTAAGAAACAGTTTTAATGTGCATCCCATTCATTTCAATTAGAATCATAGAATCATAGAACGGCCTGGATTGAAAAGGATCACAATGATCATCCAGTTTCAACCCCCCTGCTGTGTGCAGGATCACCAACTACCAGACCAGGCTGTCCAGAGTCACATCCAGCTTGGCCTTGAATGCCTCCAGTGATGGGGCATCCACAAATCCACAGCCTCCTTGGGCAACCTGTTCCAGTGTGTCACCAGTAGAATAATATAAAATAGCAGTAGTGACTGCCAGCGTCTTCATCATGAATGCTCTTCCTACTGGAGAGCACAGAAAGGAAGAACATGTCGTACCAAACGAAGAAAAGTTTTCTTCAGAGTTTAAAAAAAAATATCATCTATCTGTATTGCCTTGAATCTGAAGTCCTATGTAAATTCACCAATCCAGAGCCAAATACAGCCCAAACAATGATAATTGTTTCTCTCGTGTTGTAACAAATCAGACATTTTCCAGTCTTGAACTTTCCAGAAAGATTTTTCATTATTATGAAATTATCAGTATTCTTTACATTTAATGTTCACTAACGCAGAGTTAATGAACGTTCTTTTGGGAGAGAAAATTTCATACTAGCTTCCATCTCTAATTTCACACCTCAGATTAGGTATGAGGAGGCTTTGAGGCTGGGGATGCCTATCAGTTCTCTCTCACGAAGGCACTCGAGGGAAATGCATATCTGGAATTGACTCTTTCTTTGCTATCTTATCTTTCCATCCTCTGAATTCCCATCTTTCAGAGGTTATTTGCCAAAAGAATACCACTGTACCAGTCACTGCACACTAAAAGAAATAGATTTTTCTAGTAAATAATTATCATAAATTGCACTAGTGTAAACATCTGCTTATTATTGAGCCAAAAATACATGTCCACTAGTGTAATACCTTGCTGTGGATTTATGAAAAACAAATCTTATCAAGTCATCAAATTAAAGCATAGATTGTTTTTTCCTTGAGAAGCAAATTAGAACTTGGAACTCCCACCTCATGGTTGAGAAGTGTTTTACTGTTGCTGTGTTGAACCCAAGACCCTCTTCACATTAAGGCTGTTAACATGTAGCTCATGAGGATGGCCTCACTGTCTCAGCAGCGGCCTTCCTTTCTCAATGTGTGTTAAGAATCATTAACAATTCTGTACATTCCTTTTCTAAGTTTTCCTCTTCCTGTATGTTCAGGAATATTTCTTCCCTCTATTCCAGCCCTCTTTTAGTTTTCAACCCCTAAAAAGGAAGTACCTGTACCTTCTGAAAATCGGTATAAAAGCTCACATTGTTTGGAAGATCTTCACACTACTAATGATGACACTAGAAGAATCCACCTTATTGCATACATAAGAGATGATGCTTCTTTTAAACTGGCAAAACAACCTCATCAGGATCTTCATTTGCCTGTCTCAGCTTTGCAGATGTGCTCTTTTCTTCTTGAAGATTCTTACCCACTGTTCTGTGGTTGTGATACTGACATTGTTCACAGTTTTCACATGCTTCTGCTCTCTTAAGAGATCTGTAGGAGAATGATAATTTACTTTCAGGTTTCAAGTAGATTAGTCAACCTGGTCTGTATAAAGTTTCCAGCACGGGACTCAAATTATGTTAATGTATTAGATGACTTAGACCAGCTCATCTTGAGTTTGTTCTGAAAATATGCATTTTGTGTTTTTCCACATCCTTTGTGCCAGCCCTGACCTGGTAGCATTGTTTTTATTCAGTTTGTGAGTTCAAAATGCTGTGCATCTCTGACAGTTACTTTGATTCTCTTACTGTGATGTCATGCTGGTCTCTGAATGAAATTTTATTGAAGCTAATGAACTTACTCACATTTCATTCACAATAAAAGCAGACTTCATCCCTTTTATATCACTGGCAGCTGAAACAATACCAGCCACACCTATGGCACAAGAAGGGAAAATAAATTTAAACAAGAGTGATTAAAGGGAGATTTAAGCAAGGAGTGTAGGAATTTATGCTGTTGGTTCAGATAAAAAGATTAGAATATTGTTTGAGAGAATTGTGTGTGCAGAAACATCAACATAGAGAAACACTACAAAATCCCATGCAGAAGTTATGGTCAGAGGAGCAATGTAAACATTAACTAAGAAGGAGAGAGGAGGGAGAGACCTTTTATGCACAGTCGTTCTTGGAAAGACACTCGAAACTACAAGAAGAGAGGTGGGTTTTGTTGTTGTTGTTTTTCTGATCTGGATTCATTCTGTGTCTCAAGGAACAAAACTTTCTCATACATGATATGAAAATAAAAGGCACTGCACCTTGTAAGTACTTCACTCTGTCACTGGCGTATCTCCCTAATGAGAATAGCTTACAAACCTCCTCTTGCTTCAATCTGAGTAAAAAAATATGATATTAATAGCGGAAGTGAATGCAGTTTCTGAGGAGATAGGTTGCAAGTTTCTGTTAACCTTGAACTCAATTGGAACATGAAGGAAGATAAAAATTATTTTCATTTGAATTGACATTCTTTTTCTAATAACGTGAAGGAGAATGCTCACATTGTCTCACCTGAAATAATGTATACTATTGCTACCCAAATGTGATCTTCTTGAGAGGGAAACTGAGATTTATTCGCTGCTTCAGGAACACAGCTCATAGGCTGAGAAGATGAACACACACAGATTTTAGCAGTCATTTTGGCTGCAGGCACACTACTACGCTTGCTGAAAAAACTGCACTTCTTCCTTAGCTCTGGGAGTTGGAGACTGACTGCACTTTGGAGCCCATCGCCTCAAATGGGCCAGCGCATAAATATAATGTAGATGAGGGAGTGAAAATCTGCCTGTCCTGGTAAACATCCAGAGATGACTTTGGTGGTTTCTGCTAGAAACAGAAGACTTCTAAGACAAACTGGCAATAACTTAATTAGACAAATGGGCTTGCAGATGAAGCTCAATGAAAGAAAGTCTACTGAGAGGCTGTGGAATTCACTGCAGAGGCTGAGTCTACTTGCACATGTGCCTCAGAACTGGAAGCAGTTATCAGTGAAGAAGATGGAACTGAATTATCACAAGCCTCTAAATACATCTGTGTTCAATACACGTTATAGAGAAGGAGGTTTTGATCTGTCTCCTGACTGATGATTTTCTGTTCTTTCTAGAATAAAAGTGATTTCTAAAATGAGAAAAATTAGAAGTAATGGAACAAATCTGTTGTTGACTGATACTATGAAAATCTATATAAAATGAACCAAGACATATAAATAAAGTACTTGGACTTAAGGAAGATGCCTAGATAGTTGTGAGGATATATGAGCTCATTATTGCTTTGGATTTCTTTTAGTGATGAAGTATGAGTAATGAATGCCCTCAAAATATCCTACAAAGTCAGGTTGTGGACATCCATTTTTAAGATGAAGTTCAGGTCATCAAAGGAAAGGATCTATAAAAAGGCAGGTGATTTGCAATGGACAGATTATCCTGTCTCTTAAAATCACAGATCAGTGTAGCTACCTGCTGCAGCAGTTTCTTAGAAAAGGAAGGAGAAGATTAAGTGAAACAGTTTTCATAAAGGAATTCTACTTGCTGAAGTTTTTTTGGCTTTGAAGAAGAGACGGATGCTTATTTACTTGCAGAACGCTTTTGATGAGCAAAAAAACCCACAAGCAAAACATGAGTCAACGTATCTAGTAAGTACATATATACAAGAAAACTACTGGGGCAAAAATGAGCTTATTCTGATGCTGAATTTACTGTATTTATTGATGCTATTTACTCTATATTACTGTAATATTAAATGTAAGACATGGGATTATCTAAGAAACTTTATCATTGTAAAGCAGTCATCCTGATCAAGTATGGATCCTGTAGGGAAATACTTTATTAAATGGCTCCCTCGCTGTTTACCTGCTGCAAAGATGGTCAGTCCTCTGAGTCATCAAACAATTTACTGTGCCTTCAGTGCTGAGCCTAACCCATCGTGATGAAGAAAAATAAAAGCAGATTCAGTGGGCTACTGAATGGAAGTTTACAGGAAGATTCTTGATCACTAAGAAAGAGATGGAACCAGAGATGCTTGGTGTGAAGAGAAGGCTGATCAAAAGGCCCACATAGGGCTGCCTTCACAGCAGGCTAGGGCCTGTGGCAAAAAAACATGCCATAGAGAAAAAAAAACTGGAAATTGTGCTCTGTGGCACATTGTGTTTGCTAGACCCAGGAAGTATGCGGTGCACATTAATATCTCACTGAAAATCAATACATCTACCAAGAGTTGTAGTAAGATTTCTTACTACTTACTTACTGGTACTGTACCAGTGGGATACAGCCTGCCTAAAAAAGAGACAGCTGTGCACATACTGGGTGCATACCTGGTAGTCTGAAAAAAAAAAAAGGAGCCAGGATCTGCTTTGTCCAACTCCATGAATAAACAGCCACATTCCATAAAACTTTCATTACAAGTAGTCATTTGGAAGTTCAGCAGTAGTGCAAAAGCTAGATAGATCAGAGTTGAACAAAGTTTAGCATTTCTACAGTACTTAAAGGCTCTTGTCTGAGCCTGTTGCAGACAGCCTTTAGTATAGATTCTGCTACTTATGCTTTGAGAAAGTATTGATGAACAAATCAATATTAAGTGTGCAGTAGCCGTTTAGAGCAAATATGTAAGTAAGAATTATTTCCTTTAGGTTTTGTCTTGGAGAACAGGAACATTGTAGGAGATGCACCCGTCTTCCCCCATGGTTTGTTGCTTTTGTGAATGATGAAGACTGAAAAACGCGCTGCAAAGTTTTAACAATTATCTATAGCAAAGCTCATGTCTAAGCAAGAAGCTTTGATGGAAACAGATGCTACCTGAAAAAGACGGAAAGAAACTGACTGATTAAAAATGGAAAATTTGTTTAAAAATATATAGCTATCACTATGAGCTTTTTCTCATTTAAAGAGAAAGCCAGTAAACAGACCTTGAAGAGCAGAATCCTGAATTTTAACAGCTTCTCTCTTACCTGAAGGAATCAAGCAATTCATTGGGCCAAGCTGAAAATACTCTGGTGCAAAACTGATGGAGGTGGAGAGGAGGGAAAGAAGTGTTCCTTATGGCTATTCCTGAATCCTAAAATACCCATGAAGAAACTGAATCCAGAACACGTGCCTCAGGAATGACATCTTTAAATCGAACACAGCCCAATTAGGTGTCAGAGAAATGGGAATCAGAGAAACGATGGGAACTCATTCATTGAGATCTTGTCCAGTTTTCTAAAGGGTTATGAAATAGGAAAGATTCCACTAAATTTAGGGTTAGTGATTTGAAAATGTCTTGAAATAAATATAGTATATAAAAGCTATTATTTTAAAGTAGTCTTTATTTTGTAAACGACTTTTTTTCTGCTGCTGTGGACCTACTTGCCATTCTAGACAGTGAGATTATTGTGATAGACTAAAAGTGTTGTTATGATGCAGTGTGGGTGAAATAGCACAGTGTATCTGCTAATGCTCTTCCTTTAGACTAAATGTAAAAGCTGTTGCGAGTTCTCTATTCACGAGAAGGCAACTGGAGCTATAGAGGCTCTTTAAAGCACAGACACTGCATAGAGCTGACTGTGGATTTGTGCACAGGTGGGTCTGAATGAAAATCCAGTGATCTGAAAGGAGCTGTGTGTGTGTGGTGTGAATGGGAGTTCTAGAGAAGCAGCACAGCAGTGCATAGGTAAGCAGCAAAGAAACTCTGGAGAAGCCCTTGAAACAGAACGCCTGGGAAAACAAAAAGTCCAAAGAGTACAATGGGACAAAATGCCATAAAGGAAAAGGCTGGGAAGCATGAACTCCTTGGAAAGTGCTCTCCTTCATTTGCGTCATACTGAATTTAGGACAGCAGAACTGTATGTATGTTATTTGTAAATAAACACGATTGCGCCAAAGAAATGACTGACTTAAAATTGTTTTTCTACCTATGTGACCCTTTTTATTTTTTTTTAGCCTGCTGGTTGGGTCCAAAGGATAGCCATGATTTGGATGGCTTGGGAAATCTAGTTCAACTGTGTGAAACCAGCAAATCCCCATAGAGGGGAGTTTTGTGAATAGAGTTTTGCCTTTTTCCCCCTTCCCTTTTCCTCTCTTCCACCTGATAGTAGAGTGACTTTTTACCGAGTATCTGGGCTACCATTAAGGGACTTGGAGAAAACAGATTAACAGGTAAGAAATGAGTTATGTTAATGGAATGTACATTTTAAAAAGGCAAAATGGTCCTTTTAGACAAACTCTAAGTAAAGGGTTATAATGTTTTCACGTGCAATGACTGCATATCAATTATAGGAAAATAAAAAGTTACTGTTTGTTTTTATCTCTTTTTTGGTGCACTAATTATGGTATTGATAAGGTATGGAAGTGGCCTAATTGTTGTAGTTGTGACCTCTAAATTATTGTTAATGTTACTGTCAGTATGTGCTTCACATCTCCTCCTTAATGATATGCAAATTGTACAGCAGATTGTCACATTCTCCAACATACAGATTCCCTATTTCAATTACAGCGAAGTAAATCTCCATTACTAATGAGTAAGCATTTCTTTTCCATGTACATTTGCATTATAATGGACATTTTCTTTATGCACTAAAATTACTCTTTCCTTTACAACAACTTTATATTTCATTTTACAGTAAAGGCTACGACATGGTGATTTATTCTTTTCTGTTGGGTTTATCTCTTTTTGAAGTGTCAAGTGTTCTAGGTAGCCTGACATTTTCTGTCCTATGTTATTTTTCTGTTCTTCCAGAATAAATATGTGTATGTTCTTTAAGACAACCTGCTTAATACAAATCATGAAAAAGTAAACTTATGTGTCAGTCATAAGTTAAGCCATATTTCAGAATTGTTGCTTTGTTTTGTTCATGTTGCTGAGAAATTTTGACTGCTATCTATGTCATTGCAAAGTGACCTTTGTGATATAATGTTTGACCGATTTGAATATAAAGAACAAGTGACCACAAGTGACCCATATTGCTGCAAGATTCCGCTCTGCTTAACAGAGCATAGCTTTTTGGCTATTAAATAAAATCCCCCAAACAGACATTTGCTGCCCTGCTAATGCGTACATCTACAAATGCAATGGGCAGCTGAGTAAAACAAAGGGGAAAACTGTTGTTCCATCTGAGCTATGTGGCTCTGCTGCCAGCCCCGCTCCCTCCTAAGAGCTGTGGGCAGTCCCTGGGTACCACCGGACTTGGGCAGCCGGCTCCAGCCAACACAGGATTCCCTTGGTGACCCAGGGGCTTCCCCTGCCCTCCCTCAGGGAGCGAGAATATTGGCAAGCTGAGTCCCTGTGCTGGAGATCCTGCCTTCATTCTGGATGGCCCCAGGAACACGTCCCCTTTTGTTATACCATGAGGACTGTGAGTTTTATTGATAAAGTGGGAATTTCATCTTTGATCACGTGCAGTTTGATTTCATTGGGGTCTGTGCAGTAAATCACTTTACAGGAGCCAACACAGTTTTCTGTATCACTGATTAATAATCATTAATATTCTTGAACATTTCTAAGTTTCCCTGGTGGTGGGTGTATATATTGGGAAGAAGATGGGTGTTGGGTTCTTTTAATCATATAAGTACCTGGGATGTTGTGAAGAGACAGAATGTGGTTAAAACATTAGGTATCATTCCAGAAATGCAGGAAGAAATATATGCAGCCAGATGTTAGAAGTAACATTGATTTCCTGGTCACTGTGCATGAATTCTTTCTAGCCTTGTGTATATCCTGATAATCGGACGGATTACAGTATAGATACAAAGTTTGTTTTGTTTTTATTTTGAAAGGCCTACGGTATGCAGCCTTTTTCCCAGACAGCAGCAAAAAACAAGGTGAACAATTTTTGCACTATGTGGTTTTGAATTCTGTCATATTTTCTATTACGTTTCTGTCTTCCATTAGGATAGCTTAGTTTGCTATATTAACCACCAAACCATCATCCATATCACTTCCAATTCTGAGTTTAGTCTGCATTATGTATGTATCTAGTTTGATGATTTTTCTCTCTCCTGGGGGCTGGAAGTGGTTACTCACACGTTACAGTTCAAGACGTTGTTACAATGGTTGCCCTTAAATCAGTCATTTTTGGAGTGGCTGATGACACCTGGTGGTGTATATCGTAAATGCAGACTTAACCGCGTTTGCAGCTGGCGGAGGATGTTGACCTGTCCTACCCCGAGCACTGGCAGGCACTTTGAGCTCTATAAATGAATCTGGTCTCCTGCACGAAAAAGTCTCCTGGGAGCACATTCTCCTCCCATTCAAACACATGCAAACCGAAGCAGTAACATTTCACTGCTGCTGGAGCAAAATTACTGCCTCTGACCTTGCTATTGAAGTCAATAGTATAGCTTCTCACAAGGGCTATGTACCTTTTTTATTTTCTTTATTAACTTTATGGATATGTTGCATAAATGAATGTTTTATATATACTTATGCACTAAATATACTGCATTAAACTAAAAATCTCTGTGAAAAACCTAGTGATGCCTATTTAGAACTAATGATATTTTCAAAACTTTCAATTGGGACTACTCAAGAAAGCTTCTTCTGGTGTTTTATTTAACATGGTTTCTGGCTTGAGCGCGTGGTTTTTCTTGCCAGCAAGTAAGTTTCCCTGTGTTTATTAAATTCCACATCTCTGCCAGCATATTTCCTAACTATGGAATATCTGGAATATACCAATAAGTAACGAGTGTGAATAAAAAGGAAAAATCCTGGAATCCTTATTCTGCAGTGAAATTCCTCAGTAGCCAGAATCTCTTGGGCTCTTCTCCATTTGATTTTTCTCGGGATAAAACTTCAGTCAAACCTTTCTTGCTTAATTGGCCCTTTGCCACTTATTTATTTATTTGTCTTGCAGTTCTGTAAAGAAGTATTACATTAAATATTGAATATCCTCATTTTTTGTCAATCTGCAGAGAAACCACATGCATCTACAATGCAGTATCTTTAGTTATTTCTAAAATATTGCAAAGAAAGGACTCTCAAAGTGTTCTGCCACTGGATTTTGTTGAAGGGGAAAGATTTGGTGAAATGAGAATACATTCTTTATAGCTATATTAAGTGGTATTGTTTTGCCATTCTGAGATATGCAGAATTGATACATAAATAAGAAACAAAACCAGTAGAAAGTCAAGTTACACTGTTAATCTGAACAACAAAGCAGGATGAAGTTCTGAGTCAGAAATTGGTTAAGGATCTTTTTTTGATATTTTATTGGTTTGTTTCTCCTAAACTTACTGCTCCAACATTCATGGGTATAAACTTTAGTGTAGGCAATTGGGGTTGTCCTGAAATGTCTGATATTTGTGGAGGACTCTGGTCAGATGAGTTATGTACAGAATACAGCTGCTTCAGCCTAAGGGACTGGAGGTGCCACTTTGTAGCACTTCTTACCCCACATTGTGAAGGGGACCTATGGACCTGAGGGGCTCTGCTTCCCAGGCATGGAAGAGAATTGGACAAAAGCCTGTTCAGGCCAGTGGTGAGAGTTGCAGACTCCACCTTTACAGCGTGACATTAAAAAAGCTCCATCCGATTTTTATCAAGATAACTTCTTGAAGAATAGGAGTAATTTTTTCAGATATTTGAACCCACTGAAAAGTGACATTTGGAATTAAAAGGCATTGGGAGTTTAATCTGAGATATGACAGTTATTTTCAAAGTGTAAGGAAAAGAATGGCATTTCAGATAACAAACATTTGATGGTGGCCACTGGCAATTCTGTCTGGTTTTAGTGTTTGAGATTCCTAGAGCAAAATTCTGCCTCCAAATTATATGCATGCTATTCTCAATTACTTCATCAAAGCTTATGCACATGTTTCAAAGGTCAGAATTTGGCCACTGGGACTGAATATTCAAGAAAGAGTGTATTAAAGACATCTGTATATCAACAGAATCACATCCTTTGTCTTCTGTAGGACATTTCAGGAATAAGTGCTATTGGGCACTGCAAGTGAAACAGTTTCTGTTTTTTGAATTGTATTGAGATTGCTTAGCAAACACATTTCTTGCAATTTTAGGTTCATGATTTCATGTATTCTTTGTAACTTAACACTGAAAAGTTGTCAGTTTAAAGAGAGTAAAGACTGGAAGGAGCCACCCTTCAGAATATTACAGTTGAAAATATACTGTAACAGTCAAACCAAGGGGACATAGTCTGAGGAAATAGGTATGCTCAATTGAAGTGCACAGCCTTTTGTTTGTAGTCTAATGCAGAGAGGTCGACATCAGTGTTGTACATGAAGGTAGAAAACAAACCCAAAACTTTTCATTGTGGACAGAGCTCATATTTGAAATTATGTTACCGATCAGACACTTGAAAAAGCTAAAACTTGGCATTCACATGCTGTTTGAGTTAGCACATATTAAACTGATGAAGATCTTTAAGCATGTAGGTTTTCCCCTGTTTTTTAAACCTTATACACTTCTTAAACTGTTTATAATGTCTAATTGCTACTGGATTACAAGACATATATCAATTTTGTTCTTAGTTCCTGAAGATTTTGACAGAATATCATACCAAAATATTTTGTATTTTTTGTAGGACTGGGAAACAGAAAATCATGACTGGTATTGTTTTGAATGCCATTTGCCTGGAGAGGTGTTGATATGTGACCTGTGTTTTCGTGTGTATCATTCCAAGTGTTTGTCTGATGAGTTCAGGCTTAGAGACAGCAGTAGTCACTGGCAGTGCCCAGTTTGCAGGGTGAGTACCTACGAGCTTTCATGTGCTGATTAGAGGGTTGCTATTCATGAATAGTTTCATTAAGGTGTCCAGATGGTCTGGCCAGGTTAATGGATAAAGAACTGAATATTTTAACAATGGTACATACCTAGAGCATCTGTACAGAGATACTAAATTATGGTGCATGTAGCAGATGGTTATTGTTGAAGACTCCAGCAAGTTTTACTTATACATTTGACAGCACACAGTATACTGTGTGGGAATGTGTGTACGTATGTATGCAATGTATGAATGCAGTATATTGTGGAAATCTTCAACATGAGTAAGTAGATTGCTGTATACGATGCTGCTGTTTTTACTTAACCTCATTTTAATGAATCATAATGTAATATTTTTTTTTTATTTTGACCGCATTCCTAATATTTTATTAGAATCATATTTTGCATTATGAAGCTACAATCATGTTGCTGACAACTGTGGTATCTAAAACCAAGGGGTGAAATTCTGCCTTTCATTTACTCCTGTGCATTTATTGGCATGAAAAAGTCAATATGGATTTCATCCATCACCCATCTGTATCTAGACTGCTTTTTCTTCACAGTTGTTTCTCTAATGAATATAGTAAGGTGACAGCAGTTATTTCTTATGTATGTTAGAAGAACAAGCAGGTATGTGTCTACGTGTTGTTAGAAGACTAGACATATGGAAGTGCTTGCTGGTACCCAGCCTTGCATCAGCCAGATGTTTTTCCTAGCTGTTGTCATCTCCGCACAGCCTCCCACGGTGCACCACATTTTTAGGCTTCTTTCGATAGGGAAGAAAGCATATGAGTAAGACAAAATTGTTGATATAAAAGGTATAAAAATCTGCCAGTTGCCTTCTACCTTGGGTTACTGGAGGAAGAGGAAGCTCCTTGCCAAAGGCTGAAGTCTAGTTGTAGGGCACAGGACTGACCTTCAGATGATCTCTGCTGTAACCAGTATTAGGGGTTGGTGCTTCTTAAGCACAGAGAAGTGTTGTGTTTTGTTTTCTTTTTAACATATGGATTGTTTTGTTTCAAAACAGTACTTTCTGACTGCTGTTACCTTAGAACCAGTTGTAAAAACCTGACACCTGCCTTAGAGTGGGAGCTCTCAGGATTTAGGGAAATACCAAAAATAAGAAGTGTAAGGGAAGCGTAAGGGAATTAAAAACTATACTAGTGGCTGAGAGCAAGCAGTTAAGAATAAAGACATGTACTGTATCCTCCTGTATCAAAGTAGCAGCATTTAATTTAACTACTCAGTATTCTCTCTGTTAAAAACAAAGAATGGGAGTATATATGTGAATTGCTTTTAGATTTTTAAAGTAATCACCTTAATAATTGTTGTTTCCCATAATAAATATAGTTCTTACAAATAATTAAGATCAGATAAACCTGATCCAGTCTCCACTCTAGTTTGCAAACAGTTTTAGATGACGCTTGGTGAAAGAGGGAATGTAAGTGGTTTAAGTGAGTTTGTGTGTTAGGAGGCTTATGGCATCTGTCTTACAAGATGGATGTCTGCAGAATGGAAGAGCTGAACTGCTGCATGTAGAGTGCACCGATTTGCGGGGTGGTCTGCTCTGAGTTCAGCTGGATTTTCATCTTAGAGCTCTGAGATACTTTATGGCACTGATGTTAAACAAATATTTACCTTTAAGAAAATGCTATGAATCTTAGACCATATGTAGTGTGTCCTTTTGCCTATTGATTCCCTTTTTGTTATACAGGGAGAGGTTTGGGGGTCTGTTACATCCTTCCTGCTCCAGAGACCTTTGGCTTGCTCAGTGCCTTGAGTGATAACCAACGTATTTATAAGAATGCTGCCATTTTAAATGCCATGCCATCCATTTTTCCCTTGCTCTGGCACCTCTTACGATAATTACTCCAATTCATTTGAAGCCCTAAGTTTGCAATCTGGGGCTAACGAGGTTTGCACAGTCCCTGGGAGCAAGGCAGAGGTCTAGATGAGAATTAGCATGCTTGTGTCAGGTTTCAGTATTCTTCCACTGCTTTCCCCCACCTTCCTAGGAACAGGCTGCTCTAATTTTATTTTAAAAGAACAAGAGAGGCCTATATTCAAAATACTATGGTAGTTTAGAGAACCCTGGCTGATATCCAGAGGACATAACAGAGCTTAACTATCTTGCGTAAGGGCAATGGGATTTATTTTGCGTTATCTGCAGTAAATATGGATGTTCAAGGAAAGTAACAGGGACAAAGAGATGTGTATATTTTTGTACTTTTTTTTCTTGTGACTGGACGTAGAACATTTTACTGAGGGATCTCTGAGCTCTTTACAGAGGTGAAATGGAAATATGTTTGAAACCTAATATACTGGGAGAAATAATCTAAGAACACTTCATTCTTATGTAAAGATTGCTTCTGTAATGCTGCCAAGGTCAGCAAGCCTTTGGATTATTTGTTTCACAATTGCTGGCTGTACTAGTTCAATCAACCTGCGCAGCTTTATCTTGCACACTTGACTACTCAGAAGCATTTTATAAAGGACGTTGCCAAGGATTTGTTCATAACTTGAAAATATTTTTTCTCCTGTAACGTTTAGAATGTCTCATTCTTGGCTTTTTTTTTTGTTCTTTCTTTTTTTTTTTTTTTTTTTAATTTCACAGAACTAATCTGAATATTTTATACCTTACATAATTCTCAGCAGGAGACAAGTGTCAAGCAAAGTTCAGCTCAAACCATACTGCAGTGATTGAAGATGCTCCCTGACTGTTGACTAATACTGTCTTAAGTGAAATAAATTTGTATTATCATAAAAATTCCTGGTAGATAGGTCACTAGGGAAAGATGGTATCAAATGGTCTTAGGGATTGCATTAGCCTTTTCCCACTACTGGAATGGTCCGTGCAATGCAGGGTTAGTCTGCTGGGTATCTGGAGGATGCAGGAGACTTGTATGCTTATTGCTACTCTTTGGTTGGATAAAGAGAGGAAATTAATCTCATCCAGTTGTTAATTTAGTACCTCAAAACTGCATAAAGTACTGCAAAAATGCAGTGTTTTATTGTAGTTGTTGTTGTTTGTGAAAATAGACGTATAAAAGAAGTCTGAATAGGAGAACATAGATCCCAGATTGAATAGCTGACTGTGATTAATACTCAAAAAACTTTTTTTTTTTTTAGTATTTTTTTAAGAAAGGCAAAATTATGCACAGTGATGTATTTTGTCCCAGAGGAATACATTTTTTATTTATGAAACAAAAAGGAAGAATTAGTTTTGGTTTCACTTTTCTCCCTGGGCTATTTTGTTATTGTTGTTGTTGCCGTTGTTGGGTTTTTTTGCAAATGTCTGATCAGGCATTGATCTTTCATGCATGTGCTGTACAAGGAATTATAACCAATTTACCCATGGTAGTGGGTTATTCGGTATTTCTGTGTTTTGTGCATATGCAAGCAAAGTAAAGTGTAGAGCTTAAGATATGAAATACTGTGCTGATACGTGTTCCATAAGTAGGTTGTTTCAGAGTGCTGGTACTGTAGTGAACATTTCATAGGGTACATAAAAATTCTCCATCATGCAGTTCACAGTTAGCAATAGGTGTACATGAAAAGTGAGAATGACAAATGATAGAAAAATAGAAATACAGGCACATGAAGATTACTGAGGAGAAGTAGAACTAGAACTTTCTGTAAAGAAAACTATCGCAGCCAGAACCTGTACAATAACTACATGATGGAACATATTCCATAAATAGGGTCTGGCATATTTATACAAATTATACCTATGCATTAGCACCAAATTCCTCTGTAAATTTAAACCCTAAAAAAATCAAAGGGCCAGCAGGTAAATCAGAGAGCTCATAAACAACATTGGTGAATAAATGGTAGACTTGTACACTTAGTTCTCCTCTGTGGAGGTACCCCTGGAAATCTTAACTGCTTCTGGAAATGGAACTGGTGACTTAGAAAGATGTGTCTGTCACTGAGCAGCCTTCACTTAATCCATCACTGAGCAGCTTCCTGCTCTGATGTGGAGCTCTTCAGTGTGTGCATACACCTGACAGTTGAGAGAAGAATGGGAAAAAAAGGTTAATCAGGGACTATAAGGAAACCTCTGTACCTCAGAGTGTGAAGCATAGATAGTTCCACCATAAACAGTGCTCCTTCAGGATGGAGTGTTTCTTGGGTGTCTCTTCAGCTGGTGCTGACCTCAGGGAGTTCATAAAGCCTTGCAGTGATTTCCTGCACTGTGCATGTCAGGGTTGCTAAGTCACTTGCAGCTTCACAGTGCAGCGTACTGCCACCCTCTTTCCCAGTGAAGCACTTCTATTAATCTGGGATAATGAATGCAAATAGTAACGTAAATCCAGTCTTCATGTACCAACTTCTAAAAAATAGATGTGCCGCAGAGGGTAATGCATATTTAAGGTATTTCCTGCACTTACTAGCAGTTAGGTTGCAGATTTGGCCTTCTGCCTACCAGATGTTATGAATCTTCTACATGAGGATTGCTATTGCTATTGTCAAGTGCTGCACTCCTGCACTCACAATGTAAACATCAATGCCTGGCACTTGACTATGATTCAAAGAGGAAAGGCTGCTGATTTCACTATAAATTGGTGTGACTTGGAAATAATCCCTGCTGAGGGATAACCCTGGTGGGCAGCTGAGCATCATGCAGCCACTTGCAAGCTTCACTCCTTTGCTCCTCGGTGAGAACAGGCAATGAGGAAAGGAGGAGTGAAAGCAAGAAAACCTTGTAAGGTGAGAAGTGGAAGAAGAGAAGAAACAAAGCAAAACAGAAAAAGTGATGCTAAAGCAATTGCTCAACATCTCCCATGGGTAGCCAGAACCTGAGCTAAAGATGGGTAACCTCCATAAAGCACCCATTTTCCCTTTTTATTACTTAGCACCATAGAATTAGAGAATTGTACAATCATTAAGCTTGGAAGAGAGTGCTGAGATCATGCAGTCCAACCATAGATCTGGCTAGTCAATCCATGATGCTGCATGGGCTAGGATATCTCTGTCATCAGTTTGGGCTATCTACCTGGTTGTATCCCTTCCCAACTTCTTGCACGCTATCCATTCACTTGGGTATACAGAGAAACAGAGAAGTCCTTGATGTTCACTGTTGATCCATAGCTGAAACATCCCTGTGTTATCAGCATGGTTTCGGTGACACATCTAAAACCCAGCTCCGTAAGAGCTGCTGTGAAGAAAATTAATTGCATTCCAACCAGAACCAGTACAATACGTACATTAAATGATCCTGAAGTGGTCTGTTTGGGTTGGATTGAATCTTAAGAGTCTCTTAGAAAAGGTTTTCAATAGTGTGTCTTAGTCGATCTGACTGTGAGAAAAAATATGTAGTAGACATTGCCACTTCTTCAGTTTCACGAGTCACCAGTATTATTTTCCTTTCCTAAAAGTAGAAAATTGAAAGACAAAATTTTCATCTATACTTGCTTTTATATCACTCTGTCTATAAAGGGACGTGAAAGTGGGTAAATTTACTTATCTCAGAACAATATAATTTGATTTTATGTTAAAGATATCCCTCATCTAATATTAACTATTCTTTAAGTGTGTCTAGTTTGACTAATCCCAGAACAAGACAAGTCTTGAAAACACATACTACTTTTATGAAAAAAAATCCATGTTTTTGATCATAGCTTCCAAATCACGTGTTAGGTATGTCCTAACAAGTAAACCTGTTCAAAAGTGAATGAAGTGGTTTTATTATACCTTTCTACCAAGGGTGAGTAACCTTGCCATAAAAAGACATTATGCTGGCACATGGGCTTCTATTCTCTAATTCGTTACATTTCAATATTTAGAAAAGCAACTGAAGATCTGTTTTTTTTTTTCTTATATCAATATAGAGAATTGAGGAAAAAGTAGAGAAATTCAAGTTTGCCTGAATTGGCAAGTTAATTATATCATTTTCATTGGTGCTTAAGATTATATTAATTGCTGACATCAATAATGACACAAAGCCACCCATCTATCTTTATGATCTCAGAGATAAGTCTGTAGACTGTCTATCTTAACACAGTCTCTTACAAACTGTGCTGCCCATCAGGGCATGATAAAAGGTTCACGTGAATTTTGAAATATTTTAAGGGATGATATATTCAGAACCGTGTCAGAAAGAGAGGACTAATCTCTGCAAGTTAATTTTATTGCATCTTGAGAAGCCTGTTAAAATGGTATGTCATTGGCAAGCATACAGAACTCTTGCCTAAAACAACAAAATGACAGCTGCATTTCATAATGCAGAAAATTTAATGCATTGCAGCTGAGTAGGAATATTTTATGCAAAACTGAATAGATAATTGAATTTGAGTAGAATGTGTGTTCTTGTGGCGGATTACTTTGTCTGCCTTGTTTACTTTAAAGGTAATTCAGACGTAGGGCTCAAAGAAAATTCTGTCTCATTCCAGAGCCTGGGCAGTCAGTCTAGGAAGCATGAACACTGTGAAAATAATGCTAAAATGTCATAGGAGAGTTAGAAAGATCTGCTGGCCCTTTCCACAGTACTGCACTTTGCCTAACACTGGCATTGTCCTTTCAGGAAAAAGCTATAGTGCTACTTTGCATACAGTAGTGTTGCATGTGGGTTCATGTCTGTGGGGCAGAGGCTATTGAAGGTACACTCTGTAGCTTGCAGTGGTGAGGTAGAAATATTCCAGCACAGACTAATGATTTTATGTGTACTGCTAAGCAATTGAACAGACACCTTTATAGGTGCTATGTACAGATTTTATTTAATTTGAGAAGGAGGTAGTAAGTGCAGTCCTGAGATGCATAGGTTACACTCTTGCTGTAGCACCAGGGCAAGTCTGTGATTTCAGTGTCTTTCAGAAGGAATGAAAGCAGAGCACACTCAACCAGAAATCAAATTTCTGTCCTTTTGTCTTTTTTTCTTCTTTTTTTTTTTCTTTTTGTATTACCATGTAATCTGTGCTCTGCTAAGTAAATATGTAAAACTAGTTGCTCTGTGCTCAATACATATCTTCCCTCTCTGTGTCCAGGGTCTGTTATGACTAATTTAAAAGAAGAAAACAAACCTACTGATTAATAGTTTGTAAGCCTCTTAACCTCTCTTAGTTACCATTAGCTACCCATGTGGTACTACATGGCAAACTGGATTCTGTTACTTCATGTGCATCATACGTAATATTGTTTGCTAAGCAGCAGTCATACATAGTTGTGTGGATCTTGCTGAAGACAATCAAAGTTTGAAGAGGCAGGTGTAGCTCAAAGTATTTGGTCCCCATACTTTGCATATTGAAGGCATAGAATGGAGAACTCAGCTTGGCACTCATTGCATTCAGAGTTTTGAGGTGAAGTAAACATTTTTGCTAAAAATGTAAGCAGCCGAAAACCTCTGCCAGAAATAAGCCTGGAATCCATACTGCTATTTCACTGCACTTTTGTTTTGAGGAGCTCCTATAGGCAAGAACAAAGAAGAGATAGCAGCTGTTGTAAGGCCATGTAGTACTGTGCACAGCCAGCAGCCTGGGCTTGGAAAGGCTATTTTGTAAGAGAGCTAGGCACCTGAGAGCCACCCTCTATGTAGCAGCATGTTCTCTCCATGAAAAGCTCCCTATAGCCTGAGTTGGCTTTGAAGGGTAGGGATAAGACTCTGCACTAGTCCGAGATGGGGATTAAAACTTCTGGATCCTGAACTGTTAAAAAGAAGCAAACTGTGCTCTGAAATCTAGATTAGGTTTTATGAAGGAAGAACCACAAAAACTAACTGCTGTATTTCTTGAGCAGCAGGGAATACTCTGAGTTCTTAGTGGCTGGAGCAGTCCTGTGTTTGAGTGTATCCCACACGGTGTCTGTTTGCCTAGTAAGCACATTATAGATAGTATAGGATATTCTTTTAAAAGTAATTTATTTTACTGATAATTTAATGCTTTGCTAATTAAGAAAAAGATGATTTATAAACTATAATGCCCTTCTTCATTACTTCATTCTAATAAGACACATTTTTATGTGAAAAGGTCTGGCAATATAGTATGAATATAGGTAGAAATAAAACTGGTAATTTTTGTATAGCTGAAGTCCTCAGCCCAGTTGTAATTCTAAGCAGCATGTATGGTTGTTATGACCTGTTAGTATTACCACTTCCTCAGAAAAGATTTCCCCCTAAACATTCTTCTGATATAGCTTGATCTGAAATTACATTTTCAAAAAATGTTGTGACACTGAGAAAATGTTTGCTGGATGAACTTTGAAGTCAAATTTAAAATGATATAATTGTGTTTTTCTTTGACAGAGCATCAAGAAGAAAAACACAAGTAAGCAAGAGATGAGCACATACCTGCGGTTCATAGTCTCTCGTATGAAGGAGCGGGTGAGTCTGAAACAGGGACAGTTGGCACAGTGTTGTGTGCTGTAGGGGATGCAGTGCAGCTGGCCGTGTGTGACTGCGCTGGAAGAAGTCCTACGAGAGAGTGTTGTTTATTTCCCTTGTCATAAGCAGTGCATGCTTCAACATGCACTTATCATGTCTCTTGGCTAAGATTAATATAATTGTGGCAGGAACAGTTTATACAACGGGCCCGTAGCTCTTTTGAAACTGATATTTTTCAGGTTTGAGACGCACGTAATGTGTAAGACTGCTGATCTGCAGCTGGGCCTTGTCTATTCTCCACCTGAAATATTCCGATCTATTGCAATTATTTAGTCTTTTGTTCGTGTTTTATGCAGATTCTCAATGCAATAACTTGTATTGTCTCGTGGTCCTTTCAGGCTATAGATCTAAACAAGAAAGGGAAGGACAACAAACATCCAATGTATAGGAGGCTGGTGCACTCAGCTGTTGATGTTCCTACTATACAGGAGGTAGAGTGATTTCCTTTCTAACTTCCACATTGTTTAGGCACCTTTTAACACTGAAGATAAACCTTAAGAACTAAAGCACAATCCTGTTTAATTCTCCTTATGATGAGTACTGCAGCTTCATATTGAGCATTGAATGTAGGAGCTTAAAATGTCATACTTTTCTTTATAAACAGGTAAAAAAGTGAAAATGTCTTGAGTGGTGCCTGGTTTTCAGACATAGAGTATTGTCAATTCCTTTCATATTAGGATTTTACTAGGAGCTGCAGGTAGCTGAAATCTTTTTTAAAAAGCGTGCTTTATCTAAGTCATTGAATATGGTCTTTAGTGCCTGCGTTTGCATATCTGGCCCAATGTTTTTGACTGTATTGCATTTTTAACTATTGAGGCATTGGGTAGATGTCAACTTTAGAAATATCTGAATGATTCATTAAGAACCAATCATTTTGTTGATCGCAAAAAACCAGGACTCACTTAACATCTGTTTTGCATTAATTGTTCCAAGAATAAAGTTCTAGTGTGTTCTCTTTTTATTTTTTCTTCTGAGCAAAAGGTCTGATTGTGACTCATGTAGATCAACACATGACCAAACTGGATAGCATATCATTTTATTTACTGTTGTAACTTGTTTGCTATGACATGCTAACATATATTATCCTTTACAAACATAGATGTAAGTAAATATTGCTTTATTATTGTTATTGAAAAACATGGATTAACAACAGCTACGCTGATAATTTTGGAGATGTACATTACGGGCTGGATTGAAGTGGCTGAAACTAAAAATAGGTTAGATTTCCCTTTCATTGTGTCACCTTGACCCACTTCCACAGAGGGTCGTTTTGGCCTTGATAACATCCTAGAATTTGAAGACTTTTTTTTTTTTGTGATTATAATTCTCATAGATGTTCTTCAAAGAGCATAAGAGAAAAGACTGCATTCCTTACTAAAAAACAGATCTTACTAGGTAAATTAGCTGCATGGCTCCCTGTAGGCTTTTGCTATGAGTTTGGAAAGCTAAGGAGATCAGCCTGCATCAGAAAGCACTCATTGTCAAGTGAAAATCCTAGAAGTATAAAAGCAGTCAACATCGATTTGAAACTGGCATGTATTTTAAGGTGCAAAATCTTCACTTCAAGGAATATACCTTTATTTGAACCAGCATTCTGGATCAGATCTTACTGCTCCAAATTTACCCTATCATAACCAATAGGGTTGTTATTTTGAACTTAATCAGACATAAAAGCACTTATTTTACTGCTGAGCATTGCATGAAGGAAGCAATGCAGCCAGTGTTCAGGTGCTAACAAACCATGTCAAACAGCTGTAAGTATTACTTCTGGAGGGGCAGTGTCTGATAATGCAGATTTCCATGAAGGCTTTTTTGCATAAAACAGGTACAGCACTTTGGCAGTTTTTTCACAATCCTGTTTTCTTTTATATAGAAAGTAAATGAAGGAAAGTACAGGAGTTATGAGGAGTTCAAAGCAGATGCGCAGCTGCTTCTACACAACACAGTGATTTTCTATGGAGGTAAAGTGCTACATTTATTACTCGCAGTATTTGATTTATCTTTGTCAGTAGCTCACAAGTTCAAGATTAGTTTTGGTATTTGATTATCTTAAATTTAGATGAAGTTATTTGAAAGCCCTTACAAATGAAAGTAAGCTATGAGAGGACTTGGTTGACTAGAGGGTCTGCTCTTGCCCACCTGCTACATGCCTATTTTCATCCTCTCTGCTAAGTGAGTCAGTGGGAATTTGCAACTTTGTCATCCTGCTTCTTCTGCAACCAAAGACACAAGTTAATCTATACTACAGGTTTCTTCCGGAATACGTGTTGCTCTAAAGTAGAAAGAGGTTTCTGATGTGCTGTGTCAGCAAAAAACATTGGGAGTATCTGCCTTATTCCAACAGCAGATACATCTACATCCCCCTAAAAATACTGGTGCTATGAGAAAAGGACTGGTGGCATTAGAAAAGCTGCCAGCCACTGAGGGAATTAATAAAGTCTGACAATACAGCTAGTATGTAGAAGCACCACCACCACTTCGAGAAGTCAGAGCCAGGTCCAGGAACAAGGTTCTCCAGAGATGTCTTTTTAGGAAGGATGTGGTTTGTGGTTCTCCCACGCAGACAGCTCAGGGGAACTGGGTCCAGGCCGTGTGCAGGGTCAGGCAACCCACACTGTTGGTAGTAGGGAGAGCGCTAAGAGAGGGAGTGTGCCAATAGAGACATGCACAAGTGTCAAGGAAAACCCATAGTGATAAACAGTTTCTGAAGCATTCTCTGAGCAGAAATACTTATGTATTTCTTAAGTACCTGTGTTCACTCCAATGGTGACTGCAGAGAAGCATGTTTTAGGGCAATTGGTAAGACATTAGCAGAGAAAGGAATTGGATCCATATTTAGAGATTTATATTTGTATTGTTTGGTTTAAAGCTCCCAACAGTGTTGTTGCATTATTAACACAAAAGAGCAAGCAAATATAGAACTGATCATTAGAAAATTTTAAATGGAAGGGTTATCTGAGTGGCTGAATTATGTTTTGCATTCTAAAGCAAGACAATTACAGCATGAAAGTCATAGCAGCTGCAAATCTTCGTGAGCACGGTGATCATACTGTGATTGTTCATAACATTTATTTTTAATTTATAGCGGACAGTGAACAAGCTGACATAGCGAGGATGCTTTACAAAGACACATGTCATGAAGTAAGTAGCACCAAATAACCAAGATATAGACATGCTATTTGGTTTTTGCTTTAGAAGCTAAGAGAATGATTCTTCCTGTTCTGAAAACAAGGACTTGAAATTCTAGCTACTGATTCAGAATTGCTTTTCCATTTTTTGCAACTATACTGTCGTTTGGATTAAATGATATTTAAGTTTTAGTTTTGAAATAATATAGTAATACATGATTGGACTAGAAATAATTGTACTTGTACAATTTCAGTCTGAAGTGAGATTCCTACCAAATTCTGTAATTGTCATTGAAACATTTATTAATATTCAAAGGAGACCAAAAAGTAAAGATGAGGTGGGTGTCACATTTGCTCAGTAGAATTTTTTCTGTCAAAAAAGTGCTTTAAATTTTGATGAATTTAATAACTATGCATTTTAGCTTTAATAAATCATTAAGTGTTCAATTAAGCCCTTCCCCCATGTTTTTTGAAAGTATGTTTCTGCATCTGTCTTTCATCTGCTCTTAAGACATCTCATTTTCACACCTCGTTGCTCAGAAGTAATGCCACCCAATTAGCAAGCAGGACTGAAAAATTCTGCCACTTACACTACTGAGCTCATACAAATAGGATTTTTGGAGTTTATTTATATCTGTTTTTGTTTTTCAGCTGGATGAACTGCAGCTTTGCAAGAACTGTTTTTATTTGTCAAATGCACGACCTGACAATTGGTTCTGCTATCCTTGTGTATGTTGCTGACACGTATTTTTATTTGTTTGTTTTTCTGCATAAATTCCTGCAGTTTGATCTCATTAATGCATTGAATATTCAATTTCTGTAAGCATGTTTCAGATGTATGATTAAGAATCTCTTAAATCTGGATATTTAACACAAACAAAATGTTGGTTGAAGTGCAAGACCGTATCAATACGTGTAATAAACTTGATTATCAGACAGCTACATCACTTTCACAAGAAAATAAGGAGCTTACAGAAATAAAACTTTACTCTAGGAAAGGACAAAGACAAGTTTAATTTGGGGGATGCTTAAAATACATGTTTTCAATAGTCTTTTTTTGATGATAATCCAAGCAATAAATCTTACATAGAAATGTGCATTGTAAGAAGATAAAAATGAAAATAAGCATTAGATATAAAACAACAACCATATTCTTAAGAAACTAGCATAGCATTACAGTAAAATATTTGTGGTACAAATTAATATAATGCTTCATATCCAATAATAAATACAACATTTTTTTCCAGATACCTAATCATGAGTTGGTTTGGGCCAAAATGAAAGGCTTTGGGTTTTGGCCAGCCAAAGTCATGCAGAAGGAGGACAATCAAGTTGATGTTCGCTTTTTTGGTCATCACCACCAAAGGTAATTTATTTATTCCACGTGTTGCTTTCTAAAAACAGTATTTAGAATGAGTTTATCTCATGTATCACACTGGGAGTAGTGGCTCAGCTAGTTGCAAGCCAGTTGTTTCATAAAGTTTAAAGCTCAGTCTAACACATCTGAAGTTGCCAAATGGCTCAGAGGTTCCACGGTTGGGATAGAGTTGTTACTTAATGCCATTTTAATTAAAGAAAGCCAATGAACTTCTGTGCAGAGAACTGTTTTTTCGAAGCAGTAACAATCTGCTAATCCAGTCCAAGGTAAAAATTAGACAGAAATGCTCTCATACTACCAGCAGTACTGGCTTTCTGCAGTGTCCTCTTCTGAGCAGTCACACTATGTGTTTTTTTGTTTTGTTTTAGCAATATAATATACATCACAAATATTTCTGTTTTTCTGCTGGAACACTGATGAAATTCCTGCTGTGAGGCGGTTGGCAGTTTCAGAGAATAACTCTTTCCATTGGAAACTTCACAATTTTTACTTCCAAATCCACTTGTGTGTTCGGCATTTGGGAAGGGTATAGCTGGGTCGCTACAGCGGATGTACTGATTTTTTTTGTTGTTTAATTTATGTGCCTATATGTGAGCAGAGGAATATAAATGTTTGCAAATTAACATGGTTTTGGGGAAAGTGTATGTTTTCAAGCATCCCAGAAGGTCTAGAGATTCAGTAATAGTGTTCTATGAAACTGTTCATTTAAATTGCTTTTGATCTAACTTTAACATGCTTTAATTTGTGCATGAACTACCAAGATTTCCTAATGGGTGCTAAGTGGATACAGCGTCTTTATTTGTGTCACAATAAAAGAACGATTGTCTTTGCATCTGTTGCAGCTTACCTTATTAGTAGTTCTGGCATTAAGTTCACAAAGCTTCAAACTATTGAAGAAAGTAGGATCAGGTATTTGTAACTTTTCTGAAGTGTGTGCTGGCAGAAAAGGCAAAATAGATTCTGCTGGAGTGCCATTTCTTGAAAAATGGAAAACCAAATTCCCAGTAGGTGTAAATTAGAATTGTTTCTCTAACTTCACTAAATGATATTTATGTTACAATAATTGAAAATCTGACCATGGACAATTAATTTATTACATTGTTTACTCTTTTATGTAGATGTGCAGGGCTGTAACTCTTTTTCTTTAATATCCAGTGCTGCATAGTGTAACCTTTCAAAATGTCAAAAGCTGCCCATCTTTCTCTATGAGGACTATCTCTGAAAATACCAAAGTACTTTTGGAACCATATCACTGGTATAAATTCAGTCCAGAAGAGCATGACAGTCTCTGTGTGAGTTCAGTCCTGATAGACAGGAGTCCAAGCCACAGAGTATCTATATTCAAAGTGATAATTTGGTACATGCCTTGCTGATTTTAGGAGAGGTCAAGGGCTAAACTGGATTAGCAAATGAATCTTCAGTAAAGATGTTTCTGTGTCTGACAGAGCATTTAGCAAGAGAACAGGCAGCTGATGGGTCTCCTTTTGGAGCTAGGAGATGTTTGTGGCTCATCAAAAGCAAGAGAGACTTTCAACACGCACAGCTAATAAGTGCTTGTGATAACATCAGTGTCTAGTTTGTCACATTTTTCAAATGTGTCAAGGGTGGGAAGATCCTGTGTAAATAGGAATTGTCAGCTCTTGGCCACTCTGAAAAACTGCTTTGGAAGTCAGTTTTTTAAGTCAAGATCTCTTGTCCTTATTTTGTGTTTCTCAACCCATCTGTTTATTCAACAGGGCCTGGATCCCCTCTGAAAACATCCAGGATATCACAGTTAACATCCATCGGCTGCACGTGAAACGCAGCATGGGTTGGAAGAAGGCCTGTGATGAGCTGGAACTGCACCAGCGATTTCTTCGTGAGGGGAGATTCTGGAAATCAAAGAATGAGGATAAAGGGGAAGAGGAGGCAGAGTCAAGTATCTCCTCCACCAGCAACGAGCAAGTGAGTGTCACCACGATGTTGGCATCCAGAGGAATTTATTATAGGATAGGGTGAAAACATGACATACCTTGAATTAATGTACTTTCAAATTAGCCTTGTGCTCTGTCTGCAGTTTTATGGTGACTGTAAGAGGATTCAAAGACTTATTTTCTGCATGTTGTGTAGCTTAGTGTTAGCAAGAATATACATTTTTTCTCTTCCCCCTTTTTTTTTGGATGACCTCTGAGAAATTTCAAGATGTTTGTCATCTACAGCACCTTGATGAGAACAGACCAAGATTTCTAAAGTTAAACAGGCACATTCAAGTTAAATGTCATGGATATCAGATGGATGGCAGCACTGCCTTCCTAAACTCTCATCAAGGGACAGCCCTGAGCTGTTCTGCCTTTTCACAGCTGGAGCATGTTCACTTGGGACTTGGGACTGTATTCTGTGCTACCAGTCCCTGAGCAACACCGACCGTGACTGTTAGAAAGTCCAAGTAAAGTTAGGTGCAAACACTGCACTTCAGGAGCATGTGACCAGCAATTAATTAAAGTAATTCCAAAATAATTCTGCAAAATAAGAAAAATTACACTGCCTTAACAAATCTGAAATGCACAGAGGGAAAAGATAGAAAACTATGCACTGGAAATTCCCTTATCAAAGCCGGGCCTTGCTAGTCATTTCGTGTCCAAGAGAGTGTTTATATTTGCAGTCACTGACTTGGCAGGAAGTTTTTCATAGCTTGCAGGATGCTTCACTGTATTTTTGGCAACTTCTTCACTGGCATGATCTTCTTTCCTCATTTGAAATCACCAACATCTTCCTAAATTTCAAAAGATCAGTGTGTTTTGACCCTCTTCTCTGCCCTTTAGTCAAACAGGCCTGTCATCTAATTTCTGTCCAAAAACTTACGGCTCATAAAACTGGATGTTGCTTTATGGGGATGCGTCTTAACAAAGATATTTTTGTTTTGGTTAGTTTACCTAACTAAACCTTTGTAGCCCCCTTTATTTAATTTTGCATATACAGTCATGCAACAGCATAGAATGAAACAAGAAAACAGTCACAAAATTTATGACAGGTAACAGTTTCTGTAGTTTTTTTGGTTTTAAAGTGTCCATTTTCATATTTTCTATCCTGTCTCACCTGTTCATCCTTCACTTGCTTAATGCTTGTACCTGCTTCATTGGTTTCCAAACAGAGGAACATAAGAATAGCCATCAAACTCAGAGCTTTAAAGTAATCTGCAATATTCTTGTACTGATGCTAGATAGCCCTGGATGCTTCAAAGGCTTCAGGAGGGAACTGTAAGATTATATACCATTCACTTAGTCTTAATACTTTTGTTTTTTGCTAGCTATTCATGGTTTTTTTTTTAGAGATGACGTACTGAGAACCCTTCATGTATACGATAATAATCAATTAAAGCAAGTCTCAGGAATCTTACTGCCTTTCTTGATGCATGTTTTCTTTGTGGTAGTTGTTGCTTTCTGGCTTCAACAAAGATCTGCTACCTAGTTATGAGTTGCTGATATCACAATATTCCAGAAAACAAGGCTTTGAATTTGCGTGTGAAATGAAGCAAAGAATGATTACAGATATTTTAGAAAATACATACTGCATTTTAGAATGTTTGTGAGTTTTCGTTCTTTTATCAGAGTGTACTTATCACTGATAATGGAGAAGGTTTACTGTGTGTACTTACTATTTAAGAACCATACTCAACTTTCTGTTTGCTAAATTAAATAATTGCAAATAAGCACAAAGAAGACACACATTGTTCCTGTCACAATGACTGCTACTCATATGAACTATTGTTTGGAATGATTCAGTGTTCTCTTCATAATGTTCACAGCTGAAGGTTACTCAGGAACCAAGAGCAAAGAAAGGACGACGTAACCAGAGTATGGAACTCAAAAAAGAAGTAAGTAACCTCAATTACGTGTTTGCAGAGATAGCAACAGAAAAAGTCTGAAGTTGTAACAGATGCACCTTTGGATGCTTTCACTTTTTACTGATTTTGTAACACTAATCTTAGAAATTCCAGTCCCATAGCTTTGTTCTCCTTACTAACAAACATAATCGTACATGCCAGATTCCAGCCACTGGTGTCTTTGTGGTGATATTCTGTATCATGAATAAATCCAAACTGTCAGTCTACAAGATTTTTTTAGAGTCAATTCTACTTGCTAAGTAAATCTACAAACAAAAAATTCAAAAGTATTTTGCAAGATCAAGAATATTACGTTCATAAAATACCATAACCAGACTTGTCCATGGAAATTCCTTCCTTGTCTATCTGCCTCACAAACTGAATGAATTGGGGGAAACATTAACCCATGGTCATGTAGCTACAGAACTGTGTTATTATCCTTGCACACAAGGGGGCAGTTGCTTAAGCAGTCATAAATCTAGCGTTAGTCCCAATTTCTAAGCATTTTCTTGTCCTCGTTTCAGCTTCATGATGAACAATGAGAAAAAGTTGCACATATGCATAGGACTTGGGTCTCTTCTACAGAGGAGGGTTCACATGTTTCAGTATCAGAGCTATGTGGGATGGGCCTGCTGCCTGAAATATTGATATTGTATCTGATTCCACAGGACTGTGTCTTCAAGGCACCTTCATCATTGTGGATGTGACCGTAGTTTCCCTGGGACTGCCAGAAAGGGAGAGTGGCATCTTTCCCAGACTGCAGTTTAAGGATGTCTAATCATCTTAGTTTTTTCTATCTAGTGTTTTCTATCAAGCAAATTCTGTAATTTATGTATTTTTATCTTAACATTTGCATTCTTAGCTCTGTTCATACTTTATCAGTGATCCTGAAGTCAATGCAAGCGACCAGTTATAGAGTAATTTGTTGCAAAAGGGGATACACATCGTTTTGGTTGGTGTGCCATGTACCCCATCACACTGTCAAGCAGAAAGGCCAGTCCTGAGCAAGTCTGGTGCACTAAGGACTGTGAGCTTTGTGTGTACACTGTTAAATGAGCTTTTAAAAATGTAAGTTAAAAAAAAAAAGTACACCTGTGTCTTGAGATACTTCAAATATCACCAAGGATTTGCAAATTTATTGCTTTATCTGTTCTGAAGAGCAGAAACAATCAATATTATACTGCAATAACATAGGGAGCTAAATTAAATACAGTACATTACAGTAACTATGATTTCTTTCCTGATAATTGTGTAATTACAGAAAGCTTCTGTGGTCATCCAAGTTCTATGTTATTGGAATCAAGACTTAGACGCTCATTAGTCTTTCATCTTCAAAGCACCTTTGAAGTACTAATCAATCCTTGCAGCAGTTCTATGAAATAAATGGAATATTACAGTATCCAGCAGAGCCTGTTGGGCCAGAGTAAGCCCTGTGTTTGCCAAAAAAGTTGAGGCACTGTGGCCACATTGTCTCTTCAGGAAGAATAGTAGGGGAGAAACCTGTAGTAATCATTTACTGGGTCTTCAGTGATCTGGTATGGTACTTTTGGGGAGGTGATACTTTTTGTTGAGGTTGGTGGTACTTTTAGGGAAGCGAGGGTCTGTGTATCTTCCTTTCAGCAGAGCTCCTAGCTCTGGATCAGAAAAGCCTCCCCAGAAAGCTCATCTACCCAGTGTAAGCGAACACCGTTCACGTCAATTGTGCTGCTATTAGTCAGGTAACATTTTTTCTCCAGAGAGAATTGAGAGTTAATTTGTTCTGTTTTGATACCTGGATTTGCAAGTTTGTTCTTTCTTTGTAGGAGCCAGAACCTGAAACTGAAGCAGTAAGTTCAAGCCAGGAAATTCCCACAATGCCTCAGCCCATTGAAAAAGTTTCAGTCTCAACTCAGACCAAGAAGTTAAGTGCCTCTTCTCCAAAAATGCTGCACCGGAGCACCCAGACCAATAATGATGGAGTGTGTCAGAACATGTGCCATGACAAATACACCAAAATCTTCAATGATTTTAAGGACAGGATGAAAGCTGATCACAAAAGAGAAACTGAGAGAGTTGTGCGAGAGGCAGTGGAAAAGGTAACACTTGTCAAACACCACCTACGCCCTGGTTTGAGGAGAGGAGGAGTGGGATTAGGATTTTTTTTCTACGTTCTTTTCTACTTTAATAATATCCACCCATCAGAAAGTAGGTAAAAAAACCTTCTTCAAAGAGACTGTATAAAAATAGTTTTCAGTATTGCTTTTCAGACAAATTCTTTACCAGCAGGCCTTAGTTTAAGTAGAGAGCTCTTGTTGCTTCTGATTCTAGTCTAGTAAAATCAGTTTGTGATCCAGAAGTGAAACTGATTGTTCCTTCATGATTATCTGTTGCCAAAGCCTTTCTTTGTCTCCATTGTCAAGTGTGTTTGTAAACAATGTCACTGTTTAAATGCTATTTGTAAACAATCCTTCTTCCATCAAACTTCTGACCTAAACATTAAAGAGGTTGGCTAAAATTTGTTTGAATCTTCTTGTCTAACAGTAACATCTAAAAATTTGTTATCTAAGTCTGACCTGGTCACCTTTGGCTGGAGAAAACAGGACAAATCAGAGGATGATTCATCTGACCTCACTTAAGTACCTGTCTCAGGAAAAAAAAATGAATTTCCTCGTGGAGGGAGGACTTTGGAATGAATGTAGGGAGTTTAGGTGTTAATCCTGTAGGACTAAGACACCAAATCTCTAGCTGTTTGTATGAGGGCAAAGGAATTCCACTGACAACGAATAATACAGTGGTACCTCTCACTGAACTTAGGAATGTTACAGTTTGTATTTTCCATCGTGCTGTTACTTTGGAGTTATATGAAGTTATAGATTTAGAAAAGACAAAATCTTTGCCTAACAAAAATTAATTCATAATTTTAAAACCGATCATTAACAAAATAGACATGGAACCTGTGTGGCTGTTTTTATGGTTGCCTTGCAGAACAAAACAATTATGAACAATTCTTAGGAGATAGAAGTTTTGTTATAGCTGTAACGGAGACTACTTTTTGTTTTCTGAGGAGAAGAAATCTCTAATTATGTGACCTCCACTCACAACAGTATTAGGGGCTTAAAGAAGATAGATTTATTCCAGTAGCTATCCACTGACTTGCTTTGCTGACTTACTTTCTTATGGCAGCTGCGTACAGAGATGGAAGAAGAGAAAAGACAGGCTGTAAATAAAGCCGTGGCCAATGCACAAGGAGAGATGGACAGAAAATGTAAGCAAGTAAAGGAGAAGTGCAAAGAAGAATTTTTAGAAGAAATTAAGAAGTTAGCAGGCCAGCACAAGCAGCTGATTTCCCAGACCAAGAAGAAGCAGTGGGTAAGTCTCAAAACTTACTACAAGACAATAACTGGAAATGTATAATGCAGACTGCAGGCCAGTGGTAGGCATTCACTTCCTTGCTTTTACCTGGATCACTTTCTCACTTGTCTTTCAGCTTCAAGGTTTGAGCTTTCAGATTTCCTTCACCCTCACATTTGAACTCCAGATTTTCATTGCTTTCTATCTTATTTAGGTAGTGTTAACAGAACCATCTTCCATAGCCCAGCCAGATGTTGCTAAATATTGCTGAAAAATGTGTGGTTGTACTTCAGATCAAACAAATTTTGCGTTATGTTCCCACTCCTTTGATCTCAAGGCCCTAGAGAGTACAAGCCCTAGCTGTGTGCATTTGGAGCTCCCTTCTAGAAATTCTCGTATTGATATCATTTTGGCCTTTTCCTCCCAGAGCTTTGTCTGCAGCTCTTTTATGCTCCTGTGCATTTCAGACAAACATTCTCAAACGTTTCCCTCCCTTTCTCCCGCTCGCCTTGGAGCTTCGACTTGGCCAGCTGTGGCAGAGCAGTGTGCAGACGCCTTGCCACAAGATGGCACGCTGCTCTGACTGACGGACGGCCACCGGCTGCCACCGCACAGCACGCGTTCCTTCCTCTGCAGGGGGCTGTGCTTGGTTGGGCTCAGCCTCGTAAGCCTTTCTGGATGAAGCGGTGGGCCCTGCAGAGAGAACTGTGTTCTGTAGGGGACTGACAGAAATATTAAAGCAAGACAATAGGTTGCTGCCTGTAACAGCTGCAATTTCAGGGTTTTCTTTTTAAAGAGAATTCCTTTTGAGCACCTGCAGTGTTTTCATTTTGATTTCTAGTAGAGATGTACTGTAGGTGTGACGATGCTGCAGTTTGGTTCTCCATCAGTGAGCAAATCCTTTCCTGTGTACCTTGGGTCTGCAGACCCAAGAAGTTATTTAGGTCTCAAACTCGATCAGGTTATCTGTAATGAGTCACCAGCCCCTGGTGTCTATGTGCTTTTGCATGTGGCACTTGAAAAGGAAACTGAATTGGCCTTTCTCACCATAAAACTGTGTCAAATGAGCTCTATTCTGTGAGATGTTACAAGTGCACATGTGAACTGTTGCCACCACTCAACTGATAAGTTGTAACTCAATCACAGTAACTGGATCGTGAGTCCAGGCTCTTAGCTGGAGCTGGTTGGGATTGTTTCTTTTTGAAGGCAGAATTTGTGAAAGAGACTCTTGAGATTTCTATTTGTCTGTTCCAGTGTGCCTTTACTGTGTCCTTTAGCCTCATCAGTGTGCTGTGGCACCGCATCTCTGCATCTTAGGATCATGCACTTAATGCCTCTTTCCAAGCAAGACAATTAGAGATATAAAGAGCATTTGACAGCTTCACCTTCTCCTGTGGGCCCAGAGCTGTCAGTCACCACCTTAAATGAATGCATCGTGCAGGCAGCTGGTTTTCATGTGCTGGGAGGGAGGGGAAGGATAAACACCTTTGCATTCAGGCTGATGGATCTGCCTGCCAACACGCAGCCTCAGGCAGCTGGAGCTGGTCCAATTACACAACTCCCCAGTGATTTTTCTTTCTGTGGCACTAATGACAGTCCCTGGTGTGTAGTACCACTGTTGTATGCAGCTATTATAATAATGATGCCTCCTTACTAAAATCTCATGTAATTAACACATACTAAATGAGTTTTGGTGGCTTCGCTTTTTAATTAGAACCAGAGACCTCTGGTTTTGCGTAATGCAGATGTCTGGGTTTGGGAATGCAGCTGTTACTATTCATACTGTATTTGTATTTTTCCTAGATTTAAAAAAATAGTCGGTCAGAATGAAGGGATTGCTTTGCTGGTGCTTGACAGGCACACGAGCAGGCATGCCTCCTCCCACCTTCGTAAAGAACCACGTTCTGTGTTGCTCTGACTGGTCACAGTCCCCTTGGTTTAGCCAAATTTCAGTTCTGTACCTTCAGAAAATTTGGAATTAATACAGATACCTCAAGTGAACGGCAGATAAAAGGAAGAAATGGAAAGGCAGAGAGTCATGAGTTTATGCAGTGTGATGATTTACAAAACTCAGACCACAGTTGTTTTGTTTCTTTTTTATTTTTTCCAGTTATTTCACTTGCATATAAGCATCATTTAAAGTGGTGCATAGTTCATCTTTAACCTTCTCAGTAATGCTTACCTGTATATTTGTTCTAACTTGCAACAGGTCATCTTTAAGTAACTGCGTTTGTCTGTGATGAGTACAGTCTGAAACAAAACCCCAAATGATTGATAATGTTTAAGATGTGGAAAACACAAAGGAAAGGAGGCCTGAGGCCAGCTGGCATTTTGCCTTCTCTGCCACATGTGCTGGTACCAGCTTAGATGACGCTTTATTTCCCTTTTGTAAGGGGAGATTTACATCCCACACTTATGGCCAACATATGTAAAGGGAACTGCAGTGTCTGCAAATGGGTTGTCCTCTCCTTTCTTAGTGTTTTTGATCTCTCAAGTGAGCAGATGTGAAGCTTGGGGCTGAGGCCCGTGCTGAATGCAATGGAGAGACACAGCTGTTCCCTGCGCGTTCCAGCAGATGATCCTAATGGCTCCCATAGGTTGGTGGACAGCCAGCAACATGAAAAACCAGGAAAGCAGGCCTTGAGAGGACACTCCTTTGCAGATTTTTCTACAAATAAACTTCCCTAGAGCTAAGATGCAAAGAGAAAATGGAGTGGAGAAGTTACCTTCTCATGCAGCTGAAGCAGTCCCTTTGCTGGTGATAGAAATAAATAATTACTGTTTTAGTTGATGTAAAAGGCAACTTTCATGCATCTTATAGGAGAGTATAGAGTTATTGCATTTTTGTTTTAAGACATTTGGGTTTTATTTCCTTTGTAGTTCTCTTGTTTTATTAACAATGCTGTAGTTAGACAGTATGTTGAAAGTACAACCTGTGTTACTCTGTGGTTTGACAGCAACCTGCACATTTCTCCATCTGTTCCCCATCATACGGGAGGTGTTCCAGGCTGAATTCTTAAAGATATTCTCTGATTCTGAGTATGACAAATTCAGAAAGACAAATTTGAGATCATTAGATCCAATTTTTCAGGTGTTGAGTGTGAGCAGCCCCATTAGCAGCGATGCCTCCCTACTTTGCACAGGCTGGGCTGACAGTACCACACACATCTGGAGGCAGAGCCTGCTGCCCATCTGAGTGCCACACTCCCTGCTGAGCAGCGTGCTGATTGTCTTTGATTAAATCCTCAGTGTCCATGGAGTTATTTCCAACTACCACAAACCTGGGAGCGTTCTGCATGTTCCAGCACAGAAATCCTCTTTGCTGAGGCCCTGCCGAGAGGCAGGTATTTCTGCAGAACTCAGAGGCTGTGAAATAGGTCTTCCTTCAGGAGTTTTGTGCCATGCTGGTAGCCATAAACGGCAGCAAGCAGTGGAGCCATTGTTGTTCTCCAGGCTTTCTGTGATCTCTGAAAGGCATGAAGCTAAAGGCACCTTCTTGCAGTAGCACTGTTGTAGCAGGACGTCTTCTTGTCACCATTTGCAGCTCTCTGGCAATCAGCAGACACACCAGTGATGGCAGCCTTCTTGCAGGCCTACACCAAATGGTCTGTGACAAACCATACAGTAGGGAATTATTCTTTTCTCCAGTAGTGTTTTTGTTGTGGCTTTTGGGATTTCTAAAACTTAAAGGGAGATTATAAACTGGAGGGGAATCAACTTTTTCAAAGAATCATAGAATCGTGGAATGGCCTGGATTGAAAAGGACCACAGTGATTATCTAGTTTCAACCCCACTGCAGTGGGAAGGATCACCAACCAGCAGACCAGGCTGCCCAGAGCCACATCCAGCCTGGCCTTGAATGCCTCCAGGGATGGGGCATCCACAGCCTCCTTGGGCAACCTGTTCCAGTGTGTCACCACTCTTTATGTGAAAAACTTCCTCCTAATATCTAACCTAAATCTCTCCTGTCTTAGGTTAAAACTATGGGTAGACAGTGATAGGACCTGGGAGGATTGTTTTAAACTAGAAGAAGGGAGAGTTAGGTTAAGTGTTGGGGAAATTTTTCACTGGGAGGGTGGTGAAGTGCTGGCACAGGTTTCCCAGAGAAGCTGTGGATGCCCCATCCCTGGAGGCGTGCAAGGCCAGGCTGGATGGGGCCCTGCTCATGGCAGGGGTTTGAACTGTATAATCCCTGAGATCCCCTTACAACCCAACCCAACTCTAACCAACCCAACCCAAGCTGTTTCGTGATTCTGTGATTATTGCAAGCCCACTAGGATCTCCCCCAGCAGCTCTCGGATAGGTCGGGCTTGTAGCAAGACCTCAGGAAGGTAGATTTTCACGTTTGGACAGCACATGAAGGAACTAGAGCTGCAGTCTGGGGAAAAGGAGGCTGAGGGGAGACCTTATTGCTTTCTTCCAATATCTGAAAGGTGCCTACAGCAAGAGAGAGTTGATCTTTTCTCACTGATGAAAGGTGACAGGATGAGGGGAAATGGCCTCTAGTTACACCAGGGTAAGTTTTGGTTGGATATCAGGAAAAACTTTATAGAAAGGGTTGTTAAGCACTGGAATAGGCTCCCCAGGGAGGTGTTTGAGTCACCATCCCTGGATGCGTTTAAAAGCCCTTTGGATGTGGTACTCAGGGATGTGATTTAGTGGAGGGTTGTTAGAGTTAGGGTAGTATGGCTAGGTTGTGGTTTGGACTCGATGATCTTGAAGGTCTTTTCCAGCCTGAACAATTCTATGATTCTGTGATTCGATGTTCACTCCAGCAATTTTTTTATCATAGCTCTTAGGAGGATGCCATTATACAATCGTAGAGTAAAAGACAGTTCCTGTATTGTGCAGCTGAAAACTCTCAGCCCACTGACCTGGGAGATGTGCCTTCTTGAATGAGAGATGTGCTTGTGGTACTTGCATGGTACAGATTTGCTGAAAGTTGTAGCCTTTCTTGGCACATGTGACAAATGCCCTGCTGCATTTGGGTGCCCAGGCAGAACAAGCAGTGCTCTGCACTGGTGCACCCATGAGCAGGTGAGAGGCTGCTGGGCAGCGAGGAGGGATCCTGCGAGGGCTGTAATCTTGTCTCATTGTTCTCTCCAGTGCTACAACTGTGAAGAAGAGGCCATGTACCACTGCTGCTGGAACACTTCCTACTGCTCCATCAAGTGTCAGCAGGAGCACTGGCATGCTGAACACAAACGTACCTGCCGCAGAAAAAGATGAAAGAGCTGTTCCTCCGCTAGAACATCACCCCGATGATTGCTATTCTCAGACACAGCGGTTTTTGTTTCCAAGAAGCCAAAATTGTTTAGAATTTGCTTCCCATTTTGCACCAGCCTTTAAACACTTTTCGTAAAAGAAATTTTGCACAGTAATTTCAATCTTCTGTTCAGTGCTCCTCCAAAATTTTGCCAGCGGAATGAATTGAACATCTCTGGGAGCAGGTTACTTTAAATAATTTTAAACTAGAGGATTTGTTGCATTTTCAGCAAATTTTAAAACATTTTTAGGTTTTACAGAGATTTTAATCTTTAAAAACAGCAGATCTAGAATTAAACCATGCGAGTTTAACAAAAGGAACATACAAAAACTAGATCTGAATGTAAGAACTTTAGAACTGTTTCAGAAAAACAAAGCATACTACCTTGATGTAACATTTATTTCTTAACCTTGTTGAGCTGGTTTTGTTCAGCTTAATTTTACTGTTTAAAGGCATTATCTATTGGTTATACCAGTGGGTACATGATTGAATTTAGGGAACAGGGTTGACACAGCAGGTGCTACTCCTGCGTATTTTTTCTTAAATATTTCCCAACTGTGTTTTATTTTCATTATTTCTTTTCAATATATAACTTTTATAACAAAATATTAGCTTTGATCTTGTAGTTTAAAATCACAGGGAACTGGGGTAATCTTTTACTGAGCTGGATCTTAGAGAAAAATGAATATTTAAATTTTGAAGTTTGCACATTTCATCTTTGTCCTGACATGAGTGCTTGTAACAAGAATAAGAAAAGCCAAAAAACAAAACCCAAATAACAGCAACAAAAGAAGCAACTACCTTTATTCATATGTGGAATTACGAGGCTTACAAGTTTTGTTAAGGTGCCCCCTTCAGCCTCCCCAATCCAATGTCATCTGACTGCCTACGATCTGGTGTCACCTGGTCCATTGTAACTCGATAGTAAGAGGAGAAAAAGCACTTACGTTTCACAGAAGCCGTTATGTTTGTAGTAATGGGTCATTGCCTAATAATGAGCTCCATCACTGTACTCAGAATGAAGAATAATGCATGTTAATTTTCTTGTATTAAAGATGCCGTGATTTGTAAAAAGTCTGTATTTTGCGGAATGTCTGGATTAAGAAGCATTACCAATAGGAATGGATCGATAGTTGAAAAATGATTTTTTTTTGTTTGTTTTATATATAGATATATGAATTGCATCCATGTTCAGAGACAATTTTTTAAATAGATGTAAAGCTTACTTAAATAGCTTTTCTTTTAAAGTGTCTCCGCATTTTAGTTTCTTCTTCCAAAGGCTGGTCTTAGACCACGTCCTGTGCCCATTAATCATCCCGCTATTTTTTGAGGAGTTAGAGGAATAATTTGTAAATATTTATTTAGATCTTTGATATTTATTGAAAGCAATTACATGATGGAACGATGGAAGCTGAAGAATCAGGAGGAAAGCCTTTAAAAAGTTTTCTCTAGGATTTGTCAGGGTCATTGTAAAGATGAAAATACAACTGAGACTTCTGTGAACTGCCATTGGAATCCTGATCTTTTTACTTACAGCGGTGATAGAAGTTAATTGACTTGATACTGCCAAATAGCACCCAACACCTTGTGGAAATTGAGCGGTAAGCTGACGGGAGAAAATAGTACGTAGATGGTAATTTGTATTACCACAGCTACATTATTGCCTGATTAATGTGTAATTAACTTTTGTCGCCTCTGTGTTGTGACTGTAAAACACTTCACAACTAAAAATCAATCCTGTTCAATTACTTTACGAGTTCCAAAACTTCGATCCACCCCTATGAAAGCAAGTTATTGTGGAAATATTTTTGGTGTAAAATCATTCCAGAATATGTAATATTTAACTGATAGCTGCATGAAAGTAAGATTCGTGTTACTTTGGCTTTTTTGTCTCTGTTGACACGGTTGCACATTTCCAAGTTACTACAGCGTGAAAACTGTGTGTTTTAAAGAAAAAAACAAAACAAAAAAAAAAAGATTGTGGCCTGGTTTTGTATAAGTTTTAGGTAAAATTACAATTGATTGTTTTAGGAATCATGATTTAAAATTAATTTTTCTGCAAATCATAAAGCTATATTAAAGTGTTGAGCTTAGCCACTATGCACATTGTAATTATTCATTGTGGCTGTCCAGTTTATGATGCATTCTGGCATTTTGTAAGCTGCTCTGACTAGCAATATATAGAGTCATTTAATGTGTTAACATTGGGTAATAAATGTATTTAAAAAAAAAAAAAGCATCTCACTGAAAGTGTGTGTGTTAATTGTGGCCAGATGCCCCAGGGAGGCCATGCCCAGGGCTGTGCGTGAGGTGAACATGTCTGGTCTCCCTGGAACCTGCTGCTGCCTGGTGGGGGTGAGCCAGGAGATCCATGTGAGGACTTGGGCATTGAACCACAGCTCTTGGCACAGCGATGAATTTTTTCAGCCTGTTCAAGTCAGCAGCCCTCAAAGGCCGTGTCCATCAAGTGTTGGTTTAATGCCTGCTTCCATGTGACTCCAGCTTGTAGCCCCCCCTTGGTCTCACCCGTGGCCCTGTCTGCCCCTCACACAAACCCGATAACTGCCATGAGCCTGTGCCCAGGGTGGGAGGAATAAGGTAATTGTACCTGGAGGTAGGATTACTGTCTTGCTGGTAAACAAAATTTACCCCACAGATCACCACGCAGCCCCACTGGTGCAGTGCCTGCAGCCCCCAGCAGAAGAGGCATTTGGCAGAAGGAGTCCTGGAGCTCTGTCATGGCGTCAAGGCAGCAGGAGAGATGCTGGGAAGAAATTTCCCCATGTCTCTGTGTGGGAATTAGAACCTGGTTAGAGCTGTTTGTCCCAGGAAAATAATCAATGTATAGTTTAAATATTTAGAATCTCTTCTTATTTTGCTATTCCGAAGCATTCTGTTCTTACATGAGTCATAGTGTTTCACCCAAGAGTGCAAATGTTATTCATTCAGCTTGCTAAAACTTGGTTCAATACAAGTAACTAGCATAGCTCACGTATTGCAAATTAATCATTTATACTGAAGTAAACCAACAAAATGGGATCAGGAAAAGGCAGTGGCCCTCTCCCAGCTGCCTTGCCATGCCTCTTCCCTTCTCGAGTACCATAGCCAGCCTCTGATCCCAGCACCAGCAGCCCGGCAGATCCCCTGTGCGACGCTGCAGCAGTGAGTGGGGCTTGCTCAAAGGCATTATTTCTCCTCTTATTGCTATTTTTCCATTATTATTATTATTATTATTGTAACTCTGGCTCTTTATTTTACATAAGGAGTTTTCTGCCTCCCGCTTCCTTTAGGTGGAGTGATCAGCCCAGCTCAGGGCTTGTTTGCTTTTCCAGCTCTTCTGTGAGAATGTAAAACATGTTTGGGATTTGTTACTGGTAGTTAGGGGCTACCCAGCCAATTTTAGCCTCACAGAATGCACATATGCAAGCTGTACATATGCTTTCCAAATGCTTTCATTAATCAAATTATGGAGGGGGAAGTGTGAAAACCAGAAAGGCCCTTCCTTCATTGTTTCACGTTAAGGAAATTCAATTGCAAGTGGAAAGGAGCATCCATTTCAGAAAAAAAGTGTAGTGTTTAAGTAGGAGATGTTTAAATCTAACATAAAAGATTAAAAACGAACAAAAAAAAAGCCATGAAACAACACCACACCAAACCAAACTACCTCGGACCTTCCAAAACCACTTGAAAAAAAAAAAAAGCCTCATTTTTTTTTTTAATGAAACATTCACAGAAGGCAAAAGGATTGTAGAAGTACTTTATACACTGAGTAGTGCTCCTTCAAGAAGAGCTGCTGGGCTGCTGGGAGCTCCAAACTGGAAAATCAGAAGAGGAAAACCCAGAGCAAACCCAGAGAACCGGAATTTCTGCTGGTCTGCTGCTGCCTGGGGCTGGTGGCCGAGCGCTGAGAAATCGCTAAGGGCAAATAATGGTGGATGGGCTGAGATTAAACACAGGGGCTGCTGTGCAGATAATTTTCACATAAAAGGAGACAAATAATTAAAGATGATACAGAAGAAAGGCTGAGGACTCAGGGAGAAAGGGGGGGAGGCAGCACGTGCTGTACCAGAAGGGCAGGATGCGTGTGTGCTCACACAGCACCGGCCAGCTGCTGTTCACTGCCGGCAGTGGAAGCTGAGCTGGTGTAAAGCTTCCACGAGAGCTGGATTTGCCCCAGAGAGGTACCTAAAAATAGCCCTGAATTCTGTGCAGCTGAGCTGGGTGTGCGACATGCTTTGGTGGTGCTTGGGAAAGGACTCCCGCCACAGAAAGCAATGCCTATGAATAACGCTGAAGCGCTATTTAAAAAGATGAAAATTCTTTTTTTTTTCCTTTTTTTTTTTTCCTTTTTTTTTTTTTAAACTATGTTGTTGATGGGAAATGTGCCTTCTGCTGGCAGCTGGCTGCCCCAAGGACGGCAAGGAGCCATGCACAGCCTCAGGCCCTGCCTTGCTCATAGGCCACGGCACAGGGGATGTGCATTCATCCCTCATAAAGGGCCTCCGAGGTGATCACTGCCTCTGCAGACACTGAGTGATGGAGAACATATCTGAGTCCCCCCAGGACTTCCCCTGACTCCATAGACACTGCCTGGCCCACCAAGGCCTGGTGCCACAGGTTCAGCACAGCTCTACCAGCACCAAGCGGCGATGCAGGTTCCTTCTCCAACAAAATCACAGCCAAAACGCTGCCTCATTCTGCTCGTGCACTAGGGCAGCAATTTCTTTGGCTGACACAGTACTTGACTGGGCTACAGAGCCTTTCTATGAGTTTCACAAGTCTGTAAAGTCCGCGAGTGCCAGAAGCCTTTTATTTCTTCTGAAGAAAGGGAAGCTCAGCAATTGCTCATCAGTTCCCTGCAGCCACCAGACCCAGCAGTGCTCCAGCTCTGCTCTCCAGCACTGACAGCTTCTGCGGGGCTGCTGGCAGAGCCCTCAGAGCCACTGGCCTCCAGCATAGCATATGGGGTCACTCTTCATACTGAATGCCATACAGAGATGCAACCAATCTATGAATCTCCTCCAGTCCATCTTCCCCTCCCTCCCACCTGCTGGAACCCCTCCTTGGGGAAGCAAAGCAGCGCCCAGAGGAGCCTGGCCTGCAGTGATCCTAAAAAATAATTTTCAGAAAGGTCTGACTTTTGAATTAGAAAATCACTTTTGGAGGTTGGGGCTCAGCCTCTCAGAGCAGGAATTTTTGTAATGTTTTTACAGTGGTTTGAACCCCCACAGCTCAGCGACTGATGAGCCCTGTGAGCTCAGGAAGGCTGAGAGACTGTCACCAAAGGGTGGTGCTGGGGCTGAAATTCAGTGTGTGTCAGCAGAAGGAAAAGAAAAAGGAGGAGGAGGGGGAGGATCATTTTGTTTTGCTTCCTGTCCGGAGTCTGCAAGAAGATGGATGGCTGGTGGTTTCATACACTGATAAATGTGCCATGAAACTTTTAACAAAGCAATTTTACAGCACCATGACAGTCACTGGGGAACACATAGCTCAGCAGTGGAGCTGGAGATGCCGATCAGAGCATCCCTGAGCGTCTTTTCTGTGGGTATCTCTGTAGCCTGCACTACAGAGTTCACTAGGGCTGACTGCACTAGGAGTGCAGAACCAGAACCAAACCAGTAACAATGGGATTTTGAGGGAGATGCTGTTTGCTCTGACATTCTTTTACAGTCTGCTTTTTATTTTTTCTTAGCAACTTCTTTGTCCACCATTCAGTTGACTCAATTCTGTGTTTAGGATTCTTTCTGTATGAGGCTACTCACAAAGGGCAGGAGAGGTTTTACAAAGGGTTTTCTTGTTGCAAACACTGCCAAGATGGAATTTCGGCTGATTTTTTGCAATTTATTCAATTCAAACTTACTGCATGATTGCATTCTCCACCCTTACAGATCATGTGCAACCCTGAGACGCTCACGTGCTGTGGGCACTGCTCCTGCTGACCTGAATACCTGCTTGCTTTCTCCGACACTTACACCATGTCACATCTCTCTTGGGTGACAACCTGCATCCTGACTGTGCAGCCCTCACACAGATGTGCCAGCTGTGATGTGCTGGTGATGTAAACGACTCCATCAGTTATAAGGAAAGTGAAAAGAAAGCACTCATATCTGCATGCACACACAGCAAAATTGCAATCACACTTTGTGGTGAGGCTGCAACCTGCTACGCAGCCACTTAGCAAGGAAGCATTGTAGCAAAAGTTTTGTTTAGGGAAATCTAGTTTTGTTCAAAAATTATCAGAATTGAGTGATCCTTCATGGTCGTCTTACCATGGTTAAAGACAGCAGTTGAAAGCCACTTGTGCTAAAAGGCTGAGATAAAAAATACCTGAAGCTTTTATATTGAAAAGAGAATATTGCTGAGTCCACAGTTCATCTGCTCTTTACTCTCTTTTACTTTAACAACCAAATGAGGGGGAAGAGAAAGACTGAAACATTCAGGTGGGTGTCCTGAGGATCTGCATCACTGCCTCTGTGGTGCCCTGTGCTGGGCCCTTTCTGCAGCATGGCCACAGAGCATCCTTCAGTAACGGCCCCTGCATGCTGGTGTACATGGGCACCTCAGCAGGTATCCGGGCTGGGGAGAGAAGTGCGAATGGAAAAACCCATTTTCACTGACCATTTGCTTCCTCGCTTGTGCCTCTTTCCTGACACAGATCTGTTTTTTTAGGTTCCTCAACCTGTTGGGTTGCGATAAACTCAGTTCTACATGTTGTCTATCTTCCTAATTCCATCCATCTCCTCTCTTTGGTCTCAAAAACTCTTGGCTGAGTTCTGCACATCATAGCTCATCCGAGCCCCCAGATGGAACCTCCCTGACTGGAAATGATCTCAGTGAGCACATCAAAACGTTGGCACCTCAGATTAGGTACCTAAGTCCAGCAGGCTCTGTGCTCCACTCCCCATGATAATGGTGTGATAGTTAGATAGTGTGTTTGCAGTAGAAGCTTCTAATATCCAAGTATAGGCCCTTAGTAAATTTATAACTTTCTTACAGAACAGCTGCATAAGTTGCTTTTCACACTAAGCTG